CCAAATGATTAAATCCATGGAAAAGGTCAATACGAAAATATTTTGGAGCAAACTGAAAACTTGTGTGGTCTTCTGGTCTTCCCAGACTTTTCTATCAACAAATAGTTTTAAAAATTAATATCATAATCTTCTGCTGTCATTTAGAAAGTAAATTCTCCTGAGTTCAGTGGTGTATATTCCCAGGAGTGTAAGGTTACAACCTAAAACAATGTGTTCATTATGAATGTACGCATGGAAAGAGACTGGAGCCTTGAACAGATGTGTCACTGCGTACACTTCCATTTCTTTAAATGAGTTCCAAACTAGGATGGGTAGGAAAGGAACACAATAAAAGAGCTGATATGATTAATACTGCACTTGAATACATCACAGATCGGGGTGGTGGTGGTAGTAGTAGTAGTAGTAGTGTCAGGTGTAATTGGAGGACATTGAATAAAAGTAAGCAGGCACTGGAAACATAAAAAATTGTAAAACCATTCATTCATGTTTCATCTGTTGAATAACAAAGTTACAGTGATTATTTTATTTTCTAAATGTAAACACAAATGCAAGTTATAACTCTTTCGTTGTCAAGTCCATTGGTAGGTTATAATAAGCAAGCATTGGCAGGCAAGCATGCCATGGATTGTCAGTAAACTGTGCATGTTCTGACTTGATTACAATATGATATTATAAACAGGCAACACATATGAAATCTAATTCTGATTGTTTTTGAATTATATTACAGTTAACAATAGTGCAAATTTTAATTCATGCTGTTGACAAAGATAGAACCAAACATTAATGAACTGATAGCAGAACATCAGGTTTATCATTCTGATTAGATTTTTTTTAAAAAAAACCTTTTAATTTAATATTACCATCTTTAAGTGAACAGAAGCAAATTTGCATTATTTTATCTATCTCTACTTCTACATATGTCCTACAACATAGTACAGGAAGATGTAAATAAGACACCTTGAAGCCTGAAGTTATACAATTGTGTATTAAAATCAACCCAATAACATTCATATTGCACACTGTCTGCTTCATTCAGAAAAATGCTGCACTCGCAGAGCTCAGGCGGTGTTGTATTTCAGTGTCAACGTTGACTTTTGTGGAGAGGTGGCTGCCAAGGTCCACTGGCTGCCATTTATTTTCCGAGCCCAATTTAAGGTGCAGGTGCTTACCTACAAAGCCCTGAACAGTTTGGGACCACCCTACCTGCATGACCGTATCGTTGTCTACGAACCCACACGTTCACTCCGGTCATCTGGAGAGACCCTGCTCGTGATCCCGCCCGCGTCACAAGCGCGCTTGGTGGGGACACGAGACAGGGCCTTCTCTGTGGTGGCCCCCCGCCTCTAGAATGCCCTCCCGAAAGACCTGACAAGCCCCTACATTGGCAGTCTTCAGAAAGAATTTGAAAACTTGGCTGTTCCAATGTGCCTTTTCAGACTAGGAACCCCAGTACCAAATCCCAGAAGCACTTTAGTTAGAACCAAGATCACCGCACACCGCACTTATATTATAATCCCATATCCCTCCGACACATCAGCACTTTTAACCCTGTACCCCCACTCTGGCCGGCTCAGTTTTAATAATGTCTTGTTGTACTGCTATTGTTATTGTTCTTGCTTAACTGTTTATTTGCTAGGTACTGTATTGTTGTATTGTGTGGGCTTCGGCCTGTTGTAAGCCGCATCGAATCCCTTGGGAGATGCTAGCGGGGTACAAATAAAGTAATAATAATAATAATAATAATAATAAGGTAGCAGAAATGTTACACCATTAAGCTGTATTTCTGGCATTGCAGAGGGATTGGCTGGTGACTGCTGGAAGAACTGGGTCTTCGGTGGCGGCCTTCTCATCGCCTCCACTGCTCCCCGCTTCTTCCTCAGAGGCCCCTTGGGCGCCGTTGACGCCACTGCCAGGCTGTGATGGGGCCTGATCTTCCACACTCGGCGCTGAGGCCTCACAAGCGGGAAGAAACAGAGGCCCAGCCCAGAGACATGCCCCAGGGTAAGGCCCAGCGCCTGGCTCCCCCTCCTCCCCTTGGCTCCCAAGGTAAGAAAAACCTGTGAAACAGCAAGCCCGCAATAAGCAAACTGCAAAGTAGAGGGGGAACACTGTACATAGTCTAAGAGGTGCCAATGCTTTGACCAGGTGTGCTTCCATGATGTCTTAAGCTTGTTTTTCTGGCAGAAGAGTGTTTGTGATTCAAGTGTAGATACACCCTGGGATGTATTCCCAGCTTATACAGGGTGAGGCAGCATAACTTCCTTTTTTCAAAATTTAATAAAACCCATTGTATGAATCAGAATTTATTTATTTTTTTACAATGTAGGCGCATTCCTAAAAAAAATTTTAAATGTAGTTTTGAAGATCAAATTAGGTAGGTGACGTCCCCCATTCTCCATACACTGAGTAAACCGATTTCTAGCTTTTTTCATGACTCTTGCCAGCATAGCACGCATTATGTTAGCAATTTCTTCCTGGATGTTGGTCTTCAAATCTTGTAGGGTCCTTGGACGGTTCACATAAACACGGAATTTCAAAAAACCCCATAGAAAAAAATCACAAGGGGCCAAATCTGGAATGGGCCGGCCACTCCAAATCCGCTCAAAAAGTAGGCCTCAACGGCAAAAGCACACTCCTCACTGTTCCAACGCATGATGGCGACTGAACTGTGTCAGAACAAAACTTTATAATCCCGCCTCTTGAATGAGACCACTAGCGCTCCGCTACATCTTCAACCAACTGAAATGGCGCACATTTTAAAAAGGAAGTTATGCTGCCTCACCCTGTATGTGACCAACTCAGGCATGGACAAAGTTTTTGCCTTGGGCTGCATAGTGGGCCTGACCGAGAGGGTGGGTGTGCCAGGCCGGGAGAGGGCATGTGAGAGGGCGGGGCCAGGAGGGGGCGGGGAAGGGCCCAGGTCAACCTCAGATTGTCCTCTTGACATAATTTTTATTTATAACCACATACACCAAAACAAAAACAAAACTACAACTGGATTGTTGTAGGTTTTTCGGGCTATATGGCCATGTTCTAGAGGCATTCTCTCCTGACATTTCACCTGCATCTATGGCAAGCATCCTCAGAAGTAGTGAGCCCGAAAAAACCTACAACCTAGTGATTCCGGCCATGAAAGCCTTCGACAATACATAAAACCCACATTTGGGAGGCATAGCAGTTAAACTTGTATCTAACTGCATTCATTCTACAGTGTAGCTGCACCCAAGGTTTGCTCTTGGGATTTTCAAGGAATATTTTGAAACACTGGGTGCAGAATCCGTGGATACAGAGGCCTGGCTGTACATGGCTGTGAGGTAATTTTTTTTTCCAATTGTTGTTGTTGTTCATTCGTTCAGTCGTCTCCGACTCTTCGTGACTTCATGGACCAGTCCACGCCAGAGCTCCCTGTTGGCCGTCACCACCCCCAGCTCCTTCAAGGTAAGTCCAGTCACTTCAAGGATGCCATCCATCCATCTTGCCCATGGTCGGCCACTCTTCCTTTTGCCTTCCACTTTCCCCAGCATAATTGTCTTCTCTAGGCTTTCCTGTCTCCTCATGATGTGGCCAAAGTACTTCAACTTTGTCTCTAGTATCCTTCCCTCCAATGAGCAGTCGGGCTTTATTTCCTGGAGGATGGACTGGTTGGATCTTCTCGCAGTCCAAGGCACTCTCAGCACTTTCCTCCAACACCACAGCTCAAAAGCATCGATCTTCCTTCGCTCAGCCTTCCCTAAGGTCCAGCTCTCACATCCGTAGGTTACTACAGGGAATACCATGGCTTTGACTAGGCGGATCTTTGTTGCCAGTCTGATGTCTCTACTCTTTATTATTTTATTGAGACTGGACATTGCTCTCCTCCCAAGACGTAAGCGTCTTCTGATTTCCTGGCCACAGTCTGCATCTGCAGTAATCTTTGCGCCTAGAAATACAAAGTCTGTCATGGCCTCCACGTTTTCTCCCTCTATTTCCCAGTTGTCAATCATCCTTGTTGCCATAATCTTGGTTTTTTTATGGTTTTTTCCAATTAGGGGACATGATTACATTTCAACCCTTGTTGAAGGTTAAGTATAAGCATCTCAGAAGAGCCCATTTAGCAAGAGGTCGGTTGCCATCCTATAATAAAAGGTCTTCAGGCAGCAGCAACACGATGCTGGGGGGGTGGCCTCGAGGCACGCGCTTTGCTCGGAAGGAAGGAAAAGGAAGGAAGCTCCCGCAGGCACGAGAGAGAAAAGGAGCAACAGCTGCGCGCCTCCTCGCGAGATTTGGGCCTTGACAGTTGAAGCGGCGTCAAACTGTATTCATCCAGCAGTCTAGACTAGGCATGGGCCAGCTTCGGCCCTCCGAGTGCTTTGGACTTCAGCTCCCACAATTCCTAACAGCCTGGCTAGATGCACCCTTGAAAGCGAAGAACGATGGGTGGGAGGTGCTTCCGTCTCTTCCTGCCTCTGCCGCCGCCTCGGGCAACTCCTAGAGGCGCCGGCATCCGCTCCACTCCGCCCGGTCCAAACTCCGCCTTCCTTCTATCTCTTTTTCTCTCCCTCCTCTTCCCTCTCACGGCGGATGCTTTAAAGCTCCGAGCCGCCCCTAGAAGCAGGCCATTGGCTGGGCTGGCAGCCGGGCCGCGTTCTCTTTTTTGCCGGTTGTTTTTGCCTTGTATCGGGCGCCCGGCTGGGCTGTTTGTACTGAGAGAGAGAGAGAGAGAGAGAGAGAGAGAGAGAGAGAAAGAAGAAAGCCAGGGGAAGGCAGGCGCGGGAGGCACGGAAACACAAGCTAGGGCGCGCGAGCCGGGCAAGGGAAGAAGGCAGGCGAGAGGCAGGGAAACATACTGGTGCGCGCGAGCCGTGCAAAAGGGAGGAGGCGTGAGCAAGGCAGGGAAACACAGACTAGGGCGCGCGAGCCGGGCGAGGGAAAAAGGCAGGCGAGAGGCAGGGAAACAGACTGGTGCGCGCGAGCCGTAAAAAAAAGGGAGAGAGGCGCGAGCAAGGCAGGGAAACACTCACAGAGAGGCRCGCGAGAGAGGCAGGGAAACACACAGCCTGGGGCGCGCGAGCCGGGGGAAGGAGGCGCGCGCGAGAGAGAGAGGCAGGGGAACGGAGACTGGGGTGCGCAAGCCAGGCAAAGGAGGCAGGCGCGCGCGAGAGAAGCTGGGAAACAGGCAAGGAAGGGAGGGGGGCAGGCGCGCGCGCGAGAGAGAGAGGAAGGGAAACACACACAAGAGACTGGGGCGCGCGAGGCAGGGAAACAGACTGCGCGCGAGGGGGCGTGACGTCACTCCACGTTTTCTCTCTCTCTCTCTTCCCCTCAGAGTGAAGTTAGCGCGCGCGAGGGAGGGAGGGAGAAGGAAGAAGGCGAGGCGAGCGAAGGAGGGAGGGAGGCCGGCCTCTGGTTTCCCCCGCATCCTGCCTCCATTTCTCCTCAGGCGAGCGTCAAAGCGGGAGCATCCTCTCTTCCTCCCATCTGTGTGTGTCTCTCTCTCTCCACCTGGCGCAGAGGCGGAGGGAAAGCGGAGAAAGGGGCCGGGCTTGGGCTTTTTTTCCGCTCTTGCCCGCCCTCAGAGGCGTTGTCTCCCGGAGTGCGGCATCACTAGAAACAGAAGCAGCAACGGCTGCTCCGCTTAAAGCGCCCAGGCACAGCCTTGCGCCCTTTCTCGTTCCCCTCGCGGAGCAGCAGCCGCAGCCAACATGGAAGGGAAGGCGCCTCACACTCCTCCTCCGGCGAGGCTCAAGGCTGCCCCCGAAGCTGCCCGGGAGGACGCCGCCGAGGAAGACCCTTCTTCTGCTGCTGCTGCCTCTTTGGGGCGGCCCTTGGGACCCACGCCGAGCCAGAGCCGCTTCCAAGTGGACTTAGTGGCGGAAAACGCCGCCAAAGAGGGGAAGGGGAAGGAGGAAGAGGAAGCGGCGGCCCCGAGGGCGAAGAAGGACGCCAAAGGCGACGGCGAGGAAGCCAAGGGCCGGTTCCGGGTGAACTTCGTGGACCCTTCTTCGGCCGCGGACGATGGCTCGGGAGACGTCGGGGTTGGGCTGGAAGGGTGCAACGTCAGCTTCCAAAACGGCGGCGACACGGTGCTGAGCGAAGGCAGCCTCCACTCGGGCTCCCACCACCACTACTACTACGACACGCACACCAACACCTACTACATGCGCACCTTCGGGCACAACACCATCGACGCCGTGCCCAGGATCGACTACTACCGGCACACGGCCGCCGGCCTGGGAGAGAAGCTCATCCGGCCCAGCCTGGCCGAGCTCCACGACGAGCTGGACAAGGTGAGAGACGCACGTCACGCGTTCTCCTTTGGGACGCAGTGATGCAGGAGTGACTACGCTGAAAGGGCCTTCTACTGGGACCTTTTCCTTCTGCAGGGAGCCCAGGGGTTTGGGATTCAACTCCCAGGAGACTCAACACCTGGAGGAGCCCACTTTGGGAAATGCTTTGTTGTGGAAAGGAACCCATAGGATAATGCAGGTATGGGCCAACTTGGGCCCTCCAGGTGTTTTGGACTTCAACTCCCACCATTCCTAACATGCTGCTTAAGCGGCTGAGGGGGAAAAGGAAGGGGCCTGAGGCTGTTAGGAACGGTGGGAGTTGAAGTCCAGAACATCTGGAGGGCCCAAGTTGGCCCATGCTTAGGGCAGCAGAAACCACGACACTTTCAGTGATTCCCAAACTGGTCTTCCAGGCTTCAGCTCAGAAGATTCAACTGTCTTGACCCATGATAAGGAAAGCTGGAGAATCAGAGTTAGGGAAACCAGGGCCCCATCTCCATTGCCATTGTTAAAGGCCCTGCTCTCGGTCCCACCACCTTTGCAGTGGGGACGAGTGACGGGGCCTTCTCAGTGGTGGCCCCTTGGCTGTGGAATTCCCTCCCTAGTGGAATTAGATTGGCCCCTTTCCCTCCTGTCGTTTCGCAAACGTGAAAACTCGGCTTTGGGAGCAAGCCCAGTACAATTATCTGTGCAATACAGTCGGAATTGACCCTGGATTGATGAATATGATTGTCTGATTATTTGGCTTTGGCTCTATGCATAATAGTTGTCTAACTGTCAGAGGTGCTTTGAATGCAATTTTCCTGCCTCTTGGCAGGAGGTTGGACTGGATGACCCACAAGGTCTCTTCCAACTCTATGATTGTAATGTTTACATATATTCAATGTATTGTTGAAGGCTTTCATGGCCAGAAATACTGGGCTGTTGTAGTTTTTTTTGGGCTGTATGGTCATGTTCCAGAAGCATTCTCTCTTGATGTTTCTTCTGCATCTATGGGAAGCATCATTTCACAACCTCTTGAGCAGGGGTCCTCAAACTTTTTAAACAGAGGGCCATGTCAGAGTCCCTCAAACTGTTGGAGGGCTGGATTATAATTTGAAAAAAACATGAATGAATTCTGCACATATCTTATTTGTAGTGCAAAAAAACACTTTAAAACAATACAATAATTAAAATGAAGAACAATTTTAACAAATATAAACATATTAGTATTTCAATGGGAAGTGTGGGCCTGCTTTTAGCTGATGAGATAGGATTGTTGTTGTTGTTGTTGTTGTTGTTGTTGTTGTTGTTGTTGTGTGCTTTCAAGTCATTTCAGACTTAGGTTGACCCTGAGCGAGGGCTGTGTAAATGACCTTGGAGGGCCATATCTGGCCCCCGGGCCTTAGTTTTAGGACCCCTGCTCTTGAGGATGCCTGCCATAGATGCAGGTGAAATGTCAGGAGAGACTGCTTCTGGAACATGGCCGTACAGCCCGAAAAACCTACAACAACCCAGTTTACATATGTTGTTTTAATTTGTAGTTTTAACTGCTTTTAATTATTGTTGTGGTTGTTCATGCATGGAATAATGCCACTCATGTAAGCCGCCCTGAGTTCCCTTTGGTGTGAGAAGGGCGGGATATAAATGTCATCAACAGTAAATAAATAACTATTAATCTGCTTTATATGAGTCTATATAATATCAGTGGTTCTCAATCTGTGGGTCCCCAGGTATTTTGGCCTACAACTCCCAGAAATCCCAGCCAGTTTACCATCTGTTAGGATTTCTGAGAGTTGAAGGCCAAAACATCTGGGGACCCACTGCAATGTGGCTACGCCAAGCATGGGCAATCTTTGACCTCCAGGTGTTTTGGACTTCAAATCCCAGCTGTTAGGAATTATGGGAGTTGAAGTCCAAAACACCTGGAGGTCCAAAGTTTGCCCGTGCCTGGTCTACACTGTATAAAAGGTTACAGAAAGGACAGGAACAGAGGAACCAAAGAGATAACAGAAGACATGGATCCCCTCCTTTCTAAAGTGGAGCATTTTCAGGGCATTTATACTGTACACGGGACATGGGCAAACTTCGGCCTTCCAGATATTTTGGCCTTCAATTCTTAAAAATTCCAGACAGCTCACCAGCTGTTAGGAATTGTGGGAGCCGAAGGTACAAAACACCTGGAGGGCCGAAGCTTGCCCATGCCTGCTCTACACTGACAGCATAAAAGGTTATGGAAAGGATAGGAACAGAGAGGAACCGAAGGGATAACGGAAGGCATGGATTCCCCCCCCCCCAAAAGCAGGATATTTCCAGGGCATGTATACTGTAGGTATTTTGGATTTCAACTATCAGAAATCCCAGACAGTTTACCAGCTGTTAGGAATTGTGGGATCTGAAGCACAAAAAAACTTTGAGTGCCGAAGTTTGCCCATGCCTGTAGAATGAATGCAGCTTGGTACCATGGTTCAGTGCTATCCGATCCTGGGAGTTGTAATTTGACAATGTCCTTTTAGTCTTTTCTGCCCAGCAGTCCCGTTTCCTCACTGGATTACAGCTTCTATAATTTCATAGCCTTGAGCCGTGGCAATTAAAGTGGTACCAGACTGATATCGTGGAGGCAGGAACCATGCTTCACCACATAATTTGTTTCTTATATGCCTTTGGGACTTCAACTCCCAGAAGCCTCAGCCAGAACCATCTCACGGGAATTTTGGGAGATGAAGTCACAAACACCTGGAGGACCAAAGGGTAGGGACCACAAGGTGATGTTGTTATCAGAACAAGGAGCATCTGGCAACTGCACTGTGTAGGTTGGCCACAGTGACAACAGGCTGATGCGATGTTGTGCTAGTAGTATAAAATCTAATAAAATACGACGCACACTTCAGTAGGTTGCCAAACTAGCACTTAACAAGCTCGTGCTAACTTTAGCCTTCACACAGTCCTTCCACATGAACTTGGCTTTTTGCAGATACACATTGAAAATACTATTTTCTCTCACTTTTCTTCACATTACCCATGTTCGCTATGGTTTGATGTGTGCGTGCATGGACCACATGCTTTTAAATCTGCAGAAGTAATTGGAGTTCTTGCAGTTGGCACAGGAAACTATTTGCTGTTAGGGATCATAAAAGTGGTTAACTCAGATGTATGTTTATATCATAGGCAGCAACTTTCCTTTCAGTCCATTTTGAGTTAGGATGTCTCACATGGAGTTAACTGGCTGCAGTGGGCACATAGGACATCCTTATACTTTTCACAGTGAAAATCAATAAAGGTCACCTTCAGATGGACAAGAGAGAAATCTGTCCATAGATAGCAAGCATCTGTGCTTCATTAGTCACCTCCAAATGCACTGAGATTATTCAGGGACATTAAGCTGTTTGTCATATCAACAAAAATACATTTCTTCCAATATTTATTTCGGTTGTAAAGTCAGGTCACCCTTCATTGTATCTTACTTGATTGACAAACTACGATAGATTTTATGTATATGATTGCTGTGTGTCTTGTAGATAAAAGGCTTCCCTGGTCCTGGTCAGATTTATACATAGTTTATATAACTGAACTGGGGAAGAGAACTCAAAATTTTGTTTCAAGAGGTCAGTGTTTTGTTTTGTCATATGCTGCTTTGAAATTCACCCTTCTGAGCATGCTTGAGCATTTTGTTTCATGTTGTTGTTCATTCGTTCAGTCGTCTCCGACTCTTCGTGACCTCATGGACCAGCCCACGCCAGAGCTCCCTGTCGGCCGTTACCACCCTCAGCTCCCTCAAGGTCAGTCCAGTCACTGTTTCATATTTTACAGTATTTGTTCCACTTCTAATTATCACTACAATATTACCACTTCTAGGGATATTAATGGCTGGTCTTGTTAAGTTATATTCACTGCACCTTTTATTTGACTGGCTTTGCCTTAAGAGGGCTTTCTACTGGTTGAAACACAAAGCTGGTTGAATACATGTTCTGTCTTAATCTTTCAGCTTTTTATCAGAATTAAATAACCTGTGTTTTCATGCAGGATAATTTTAATATATATTGATATTCAAGATTTTATTTTTTCAGGTGTCTCATCATGCAGAAAAGTATCCTGCACCTACACTTTTACATGTTAGAAGTGTCAGTATACTTGAAAGAAGTGGCTTTTTCTAAGGTCATGTAATTATCATTCATTAAATTTATATCATCCACTTTTATTCAACTATATCCACCTGCCAGCACATGGTGGCCATCATCCTTTTAACTAGGACTTCTGTTCTTTAAAAAGAAAGAAATATGTTCATCTCTGATATTTTTCCAATATTATGGGAAAATATTTTGGACTGTTTAATAAGGAATTACTATAAAAGTTGGAGTATTTAGTGCATATTAACTTAAGTACACAATAGGCCTGTTCTGTTCCTCACGTGTTCATCACCTGTTGTAGTTTCTAGACATGTATATTTAAAAGGGAAAAAAATCTGTTTGAGACATGTAAAATGACCAACATCTCAGATTGTAAGCTGCAAATTGTACTGACAATGGTTTGGCATTATCTTGTCCAATGAAGAACATTATTCTATAGTCTAATTTCTGTATTTAATTGGAGAAACATTTTTAAGAACAGTGCACTGGGTATGAATTTGATTCCATGGGAGGCAAAATAATAACAAAGAATTCACACCTTATGTGGATGCTGCAAAACAGATTTGCAGGGTTAGTGTTCATTAGAAAAATCTACCAGATTTTTCTAAAATCTGCCTCAAAATGCTTCTTGGGAAGCATTTTGAGGCAGAATGCTTACTAATTTTTAGGACTTCTATAGCTGTGAATGTGTCTTGCAAACTATTGAAATGCTTATATTTTTCTAGACTTGGAGGACTTCCTTTTCAAACTGCTATAAATATAGCATATATAAATTTAGTTCCAACCAGTTTGTATCATATCTGCAAGAGATCCTTTAGTGTCTTGAAAAAGTAAATTTAAAACGATGTCACTCAGAATTTGGTGGAGAACTGTTGGATCTGCAGTCATTCTAAA